GTCAGCTGGCCAGTGGTGTGTTAACCTGTGTAGTGGGTCCGCTGGCCAGTGGAGTGTTACCCTGTGTTCCTGGATGCACTTGCTATGCACAATAGTTGCATTATGTGCACTATAGCATGGCGACAAACAGTTCCAAAAATACATTGCATCTCATGCACGAAGCCGCTTCACTTGCTCCGCAGCGAGATAGCCTTTGCTAACAGACAAACTCCCAGAAAGTTCGGCTCTGTGCCTGTCTCTTATACACATCTATATGTGTATACTCTCTCTCTCTCTCTCTCTCTCTCTCTCTCTCTCTCTCTCTCTCTCTCTCTCTCAAATGCAGCATGGGGCCGAAAGACAGAGGATGACGAGGCGGTGCTGGAGGAGGGACGGAGGAGGTCACAAAGGTCCGAAGGAGGTAGGGAGGCATGAGGAGGTACGTTGGGTGAGGAGGTACGTTGGAGGGCGGAAGGACAGAGGCCAGTTGGAGGATAGGACGCAGGAGGTTGGGTGAAGGTCGGGCAGAGGAAGGGCTGAGGGAGGTACAAGGGACAAAGTATGGACGAAAGAGCTCCAGCAGATCGAAAGGGTGGAGGTCAGGTGGAGGTTGGGCGGTGGGAGGGAAGACGTTGAGCGAAGGTCGAATCGAGGGAGGGCGGGGTCGCGCACAGATCAAGCGGGTGGAGGGAGGAGGTCGCGAAGGGAGGAAGGATGGGCATGGCGGAGCAAGACGAGCACAGGTCAAGCGGAGGTGAGGCGGGTCGGAGATCAGGTGGAGGGAAGGAGGAGGCCACAAAGGTCGAAAGGAGGGAGGGAGGAGCCCATGGGGAGAGGAGGGAGGAAGGAGGGAATGAACTCCGCCGACGAACCGGCGGAGGGAGGGAGGAGGTGGCAGAGATTGAGCAGAGGGGGAAAGGAGTTCTGGTGGTCGAGGGGAGGAGGTCACGGAGCTCAGAAAGTGGGAGAGAGAAGGGATCAGGCAGAAGGAGGGAAGGAGGGATGGAGGGGGTCTAGAGGAGATCAAGCGGAGCGAGGAAGGACGGAGAAGGAAGGGGGGAAGGATTAGGGAAAGCTGAGGGGAAAGGTCGGGTGGATAGATGCAGGAGGGATGAAGGAGGAAGGAAGAAAGGGGGAAGGCGGTCGTGCAGAGGTCGCATGGAGAGTGTGAGGAGATCGTGGAAGTCAGGCGGGCAGAGGTGGGAGGGAGGAGAGAGGGAGGAGGGAGAGAGGAGGGAGGACTTGGTAGGAAGGAGGCAGCCAGGGAAAAGTGGGATGGAGGCAGGAAGATCCAAGGGAGGAGGCTGAGGGCACGCAAAGGTGAGATCCTGTGGAGACCAAGCAGAGGGAGTAAGGAGTTGTGATGAAGGTCGGGTGGAGGTCAGCTGGACAGACGGAGGTGGTAAGAACGATGGCAATTGGAGGGAGGAAAGGCAGGAGGGCATCCATGGAGGAGATCAGGCGCAAGTCAGGCGGAGTTCTGGCGGAGGGAGGGGAAGGAGGGACGAAGACAGGAGGGAAGCAATCGAGTGGAGGGAGGAAGGAGCTGTGAAGGAG